AACATGTTCTCAAGGGAAAGGGAAGGTACTGGCCAAATGTTCCTCAGATCACAAGTTGAGGGTTGAAGGTTGTTTTTTGAATGAAGTTCATCTATAAAGTATCTCAAATTTTCACCTTTTATCTGACAGGAAGTCCTAACAGGAGTGCTATTTCTGAAAGCTCCCACATTCTTGAACCTTTAAGCTATGTTTATTAATAAGGTCTCCTATACTCATTATTAAAAATAGTTTGAGTTCTGGCCACTAGATGGTACTCCCAGAAAAAGAGTAAGTCATCTTTTTAACTTCATGAGAAGTTGAGTTGTTTGGGTTGACTGTGGTAGTAGCAGATAAATGGTCATCTGGCTACTAAGTCCCTACTGATACAGCCTCATGTTTTGTAGATATAATTTGACTCCATTTTGGGCTGTATGGATATGTGTACCGTGGTGTGTTATGGATGGAGATCAGAGGACAACTTGAAGCAGTTGGTTTTCTTCCATCACTGGGGTCCCAAGCTAGCACTCAGTTCTGCCAGAATACTCACTGGCCTGTGTGATTGTAGTTGTATATTGTACATGGCTTAAGGTGTAGGTGGTGTGGGTTTGAGACTGAAGACACTCAGGTGCAGACAATGGCTGCATACATACTAAGTCTCAGGTAAGCAGAAAACCCAGAGCTACTTGGCAGGCACCCCAGTGAGCTGTGTATAGTCACACAAAGGAGACTAGAAACAAACAGAAAGGCATCCAGATCCCAGAATCTTGCTGCTTTTGCTTTGAGTTGGATTTAACCAATCATTAAGACACGGTGAAGTGCATACATTTAGAACAATTACCATTAAGGGATAGCCTGGGAGTTTCCTATTCCTGATCAATTAGTTATGGGTTTTTTTTTTTTTTTTTGTTTTGTTTTGTTTTGTTTTTGACACACTAATATATAAGACGCATGTGTAGGGCAGAGATAAACTGTTTGGGCTAGCTGTTACTTTTTCATTGAAAAAGATATAAAAGAGGTAACCAAGAATGTCTTATCTGCAATAGTAAAAATTTTGAGTTAAGGGTAAAAAGAACTCTTGATTCAAACTGTTAAGCAGAATGGGGGGAAAACCTAACACCTCTATTACAGCAAACTTGCTGTTCATTTAGTGGAAACAGTTTAAGAGTAGGACACTCCAGCATGAAAACCATCGTTAACAAACAGCCATGAAATGTGCCTGTGGGAGAATGGAGCCCTATTACTTTTCAGAGTAAGATTTGTCTCTGATGACGAGTAAGAGACATGGCATCCCTTCTCTTTGCTCCAAATTCTTGCTGTGCTTAGGAGGCACAATAGGGATAAGTACAAGTAAGTATGTGGCTGTATTCTCAGCTCCTAATGTACAGAATACAGGATTCAGAAGGGGGAGGAGTAGATACGGACAGCTAGGAGAGCTGTCCCCAAAGCCCATGGAGAAAATGTGTTGAGCTTAGTTTTTTGTGTGTTGTTACTCCATTCCTCTCATACACTAAGAAAGGGTCAAGCTCAGAGTAACAGCCTCTGCTCTACTCATTTGGTTTGCACAGTGGACTGTAAGGCACCACCAATGAGGCAGGCATGAAATTGCTGCATCTCACGTGACGCTCTGCAGACAACAGCAGACCGCACTTACAGCTACCACTAGGGCATAGTGAGGCTGGAGGGGAGGGAATGGGCATTTAGGCACTGATGTGGAAGTTAGATGGTAGACGTAAAGCACTATGTGTACTGTAAGCATTCAAACACAAGGGTCTTTGAAGGAGCCACAGTGCCCTGCTGATCTTCATTGGCAGAAAGCGATCTGCAAAGTAATTGTATTAGACATCCAGAAATGTTTCTCCATAGTCCGTGTTAATGGTGAACGAACAAACAAACAAAAACTAAAGAGTTTCATATGATTGGTACCATCGATGCTGAAATGACTGGATGATGGGTCAAGCATATTGAGATGTATGCCTTTTTTCCTCTAATTGTCCCAGCTCAACATACACTGATTGAGGACATAGTTCTTACTAATTAGTGTACTGTGCTGGTCTCAAGCAGAACACCTAGACTACACTTGGATAAGTATTTGAAACTGTGTGCTATTTAAGTTTGATTGAAAAATAAAAAGGCTATTGCCACCAGAAACATGTTTGAGTGGGCCAGTTCTGTTTTTCTTTCCCACAGTCTAGATTAGCATAAACCAACACATTTATCGTTGCTGGTGGTTGTCCTCAGCTTTGTTTCACAGGAGGACCGAGGACCCACCGGTTTTGTCAACATTTGAGGAAAGGGGTCACCTGCAACAAAATGCCAGGTGAGTGGCAGTCTATCTTAGGAGACAGACCATGAGGTACTTGGCCAATGAGTTCCACAAATAGTGTCCCTAGGGTCACTGAAGAAGCTAGCCTGCTTGGACTCCCAGATCCCAGGAGGGTGGTCTACTCACACTTCTCACCTAGGGCCCAGAACAAAGGAAAGGAAGGGCAATAAAACCAGACACTCTTCTACCCCACTTGGTTTTTAAACATTGCTGGAACCATGAACCAAAATGCTTTTTAAAACTAATGAACTGTGGTATAAAATTAATATTAAATTAAGTTAAGAATAAAGTGAATTATACTTAGTGGCTTCACAATAAACTCACATTTAACATAGCAGTGTAATATTCTGGCATCAGAGTTGGTACCTACACTCCTTTCTCCAGTGACAGTACTGAATTTCTGCCAATGTATACTGAAGGGACGTTTGAGTCGCCTATTAGTCCCAGCATTGAATTATTGCTGTTGCACACTGAAGGGATGTTTGGGTCATCTACTAGTTCCAGGGGAACTGAATTTCTGCCATTGTACACTGAAGGGACCATTTGGGTCGCCTACTAACACCATTAAAGTGACTTGACTTACATTTGGAAATACTTTCTAATAATGAAAATACTTTCTAGCAATGCAAGCTGCTTGCAAACAAATGCATCCAGTTACTCCAAGGGACCTCTTCCCTGGAATCAGTGCAGTGTAGACCTTTCTTATGGAGGGGACCAACTCACACCAGTGGCATGAGATACCTCCTATGGAGATGAAAATACTTTAAGATGCAAACAAAGCTATAGACAGTGAATTTGGAAGGTAACTCCATTCTTTGCACTACATAGGAATTTGGAAGTTGTTCCTTGACTTTTGTCTGAGAGGTGAATAGTATTTAAGTACCAAAGCCTTGAGTCTGACTAACAGGTAGAAATCACAGGCTCACTCAACTGGCACACATGTTTATGGATGTGGGTGGGTTTTAAGTGATCTGGTGCAAACGCTTTCACCCTAGCAGGCCTTCTGCAGATGGTGTAGCGAACGCCACATGAACCCTCTGAGAAGACACAAATTGAGCCTTTGTTACCGATGAAGTTTCTGAGGAGGGCACATATACATTATTTGATGTTCATTTCATGGTTTAAAAAAAGAAACCATGCACAGGAAGAAAAGCAGGGCTCCAGAACAAACACAAAGAGGGAGGGGCCAGAACTTATTTTAAGATATCTTTAAGTATAAATTGAGCCCCAGAGGCAGAAAATCATTTACCCAACACTGGCACAATTCAAACATAATTAAGATGTGTAGATCAAAACTCTAGTAACAAAAGGGGGCATTTTCAAATTGCATCTAAGATAACATATTAAACAAAATTTTGAGCCTTAAAATTAATGCATTTCCCCTTGAGCTTTTTGACTGGCATAATTTTTTATATTAAAAGTAAGTTTGAATAACAAATACAAAAAGCAGGACTAGCTAGGTGGAATCCCCCACCCCCAAAATGAGCAGAACTGTCCAAACAGCTTATGTATGGGGTGCAGGTAACAGAGTCAAATAAAAAATGGCTCCTGAACTTAAAGGAAGGATGCCCACTTCTTTCTCTCAAGAGGCAGATGGTCAGCTGAAAAATAAAAACACTGTATCAATAGGATGTTCCAGAGGAAAAACTGCAGCCACCTCTGTACATGCAATAGCAAATTTTTTTTTTTTAAATCCCAAACCAAAACAACCCACAAAACTGACAGAAGGCAAGGGTTGTCCTGCTCTTTGACCTGCAGATGGCTGAGAATCCTGATGGGGCTGGTAAGAGTTGCCCAGGGGATACAGATCAGGGGGGTACCATGAGCTAAGTTTGCTCCACAGGTGGTGACTACCTCAAGTGGGGTAGATGTTCTCTTCAGTCCATAAGGTCTTAGGATCAGGAGGTTCAAGGAAAAGGCAGCTAAGCAAGAAGATTCCAGCCCGAGACCCGGGGTTTGGGCCCAAGTTCTCTACTTCACTCTTTTAATTTATATTATCGTCACTAGTTTTGGTAGTTGAAGTCACTTCGGTAGCCACTGAGGGTGTGGTTTGTAAACACACATTGACAAACACAAACAGCAGTGCAATATTTGACCCAGACTTTAAAGGACGGGAGGCGATGGCGGAAATGAGGTAACTCTTCCCCAACTCGTGTGAGCAGGCAGCTCCTGCTCTTCTAATGTTGTCCATTAAGAGAGGAGAGTAGGACTTGGCTACATAAAGAAGAAGCTACAGAGAGAAAAAAGAAAGGTTCAGATTCAAATCGATTTTTAAAGCAAAAGAAAAAAATAAGAGTGCACTTCTCTACAACCAGCTGTGAAGGTGGCAGTGTGTCAGTTAAAGGGCCAGTGTCACTAAGCACGGTTGGGGGTATGGTGTGGTGGTGGCAATGTGAACACCCGGACCAAGAAGAGGGGAGGGTGCCTCGGCTGGACACTGAGGATCATGGATGCACTGAGCAGAGGGAGACAGGAAGGATGAGTGTGGTGAGGGTGTGTGTGAGCTATAGGACACCTTAGCGCAAGTGTCTTAGAGAAGCTAGGCCAACCAGACAGCAGCACTCAAGTCCACCACACAAGGCGAGAGAGCAGGAGACAGAGGCCATCCCCATTTCTTTATGTGATGTAACAAGCACATGTGTGTACATAGGCACGTCAGGCAGGGACTGGAAAGAACTCACAAACGGGCACACAGAACAACGGTTGGGTAAAAATATATTTCCCCGCTTTAGGTCTTGGCACTAGTGATATATGCATAGGTCACCCGTCACCACACCATGTTAACAGACACTGGCGATACTCAGCAGGCTGCTGAGTCAGCACTTCATACTTGTCAGAAGGAAATGCTTCACAATACAATTATTTTAGTTCTTAAAAAAAGACAAGTGTCTAACATGCAGCTTACATACATGACAATTCTGCATTAACACTGAAGGATTACACAACAAGTTTAGAAAACATTAGTTATCTTCAAACAGCAAAAATGACAGTTCTACAACTACAGTTTAAGGCATATCAGCATATTTTCAAATCAAGAAATAGACAAAAGTTCTAATGCTGTTCACAGCTTAATTTTCAATTTATTTTTAAAAATTCCCTTCATACCTACATACAAACTAGACTCTGTAGGTCGTAATTCAGCTAACAACCCCATAAGAAGTGTCCGGTCAATGGAACTAGGATTTTTTGGAAACTGACACCTGACAAATCCACACTTGTGAATAGCAAAGCCACGGGATTCAGATGGACCACACAGAGACAGTATGATGCGGATGAGGGGTAGGCATGGGGCAACTCAACACTGACTCTGCGGAACACTTAGGGGTGTGTCAGGAAAGTGAGACGGGCCAAGTCTACCCATCAGAGGAGCACAGGATAGAGAGGAGGCAAGAGCTGTTGCTGGTGAGTTACAAAGTAGAGAAGGAGGAAACGAGAAACCCCAAATCAAGTTGAACGGTTCCCCTGTCTGAGAGATGCCCCTTTGGACCAATTACTACAAAGCCCCAGCTAGGGAGCCAGTCCTGAACTGCCACTCAATTCTCATGCTGGCCATTTGCTGAAGCATGGAGGAAACTGTTACAGGGAGCATGGTCCAGAAGGAGCAAAAGACGCTTAGGGAGAGGCCAAAGATGCCTGACAAAAAATAAAAGGACGTGGCCACTGTGCATTTAGTACAAAGGAGAGGCCATTAGACTAGGACCCAGACTCTGAGGGATCAGAAAGGCCACAGAAACAGTTTTCCAGATTCCTGTCCAGTGGACAGTGGGAGTTGCTCTCTGCCATTGTCAGAGTCAAAGGCCCACCACATGGTGTTATGCAGAACAATGGCTGCAATCAGTAACCAGTACTTTACTTCCACCGAGAGCAAGAGGAAGCATAAACCATGGGGCAAAACATAAATGTGGCAGCAGAGATTACTTAGCTTTGGGGGGGAGGGGGCACTCAGACTGTACCTTCAGGACCCCTTCCAAAAGAAAATCTCATCTGCCCCATTCATTTTCCTAATCCGAAAGAAACAGAAAGATCTCAGAGTTCTTACTCCTGTACTTACATGCAAAGGCCGAAAGCACATCCCATTAGATTTGAGAGTATCGTTTATTCCGTGCAGAGCCAGGGACTACTGTGAAGAAAGGCATAGATACCAAAAGAAAAGAGCAGCAATAACAAACTACAGGGGTCTTGAGAGCAGTGGGAGGAATCAGTTTTAGAAGCAATACAGGTTGTTCTTGTTTTTTAAAGCTTTTTTTTTAGGATTCTCTTGGCTTTTTATTATTCCCTGACTCTCCATAGGATTTATTTTACTGTGGGGGGAGGGAATCAATCAGTAATCTTGGCATCAAAAAGGCAACTGGATGATTTTTTTTTTTTTTTTTTTTTTTTAAGTTTGCTGAGCTTATCTTAAAAAGCTTTTAGGGATGTGAGAAATCAAATGCAAAGGGTTATTTTCTATTACAAGGCACAAAAAAATAAAAATAAAAATAAAAATGCTCACACAAGCAGTGGCTGAAACAAGCATACAACACACAAATACCCAAGCTCTTGTGTGGTGCCCAGCATAGAAGCAAATGCAGCCCTGGTTAGTGAACATGCCATTAGAGCCTGCTGCTCCACAGCTAGCCAGAGAAACGGAAGCAAAGCCGGTGTCTGCCTAAGAGCTCCTCCTCCAAGTGAAGATGCCGGGAGGTGGTTGCTGCTACTTACTACAGCAGCTGCTCTGTGGTTTCTGTCCCAGCCTGGTCTGCACCCCGGCGAAGCCAATTTCCTTACTTTGCCTAAGGAAGTCTAAAATCAGTTTATGAAAGACCAGTGCTTTCTTCTTATGACTGGGAGGTTAAGAAAAGGAGACAATACAAAATTGGCTGGGATCAGATAGGGACTAGCTGGACCCTTTTTTTTTTTTTTTAAGCATGTGTCACAGAAGGGAGATAGATGCAGTATGTTTTATCCCTTTCACGTGTAACTCACGATGTTAGAGGGAAATGTCCAGGAGGAGGACTGGGTTCATGAGAAACGTTAGGACAGGAGGAGAAGCCAGGGGGCAGCCAAGCAGATGACAAGAAGGAAAAGTGGACAGGAGAGAGAATGTGTCCTTCTCCCCCCTCACACAGCAAGCAGATGGGACATGTCCTGGCACATGAGTTAGCGCTGTCCCAGGGGAGGCAAGGAGACTGATGACCCCAAGAGACAGAGCAGACAGAACCAGTCACAGTGAGGAGAGTAAGAAAAATTCCTTAGCGACAACTGGGTCTCAACAAGAGCCAGGAGCCCAAGTGAAGCCGACTGACAGCCAGCCTCCTCACTCTCTACTTCGAGTAATGGTGCGCTGTGCTCACTCCTGTCCTCCCTTCAGTGAGGACATCTTTCAGATTTGTGCTACAGGAAATACAGCGTATAGCAAATTTTCTATCTGAAGTATTTATGGCAGGTTTTTTTCATTGCAGTTCGTGAAAATTTCTATTAGGAGTAGCCATACATGTCCCGGAATCAACCTCCAGGTCACCCCTCAGCCTACTTAAAGCTAATGCAGGTGTGTGGGGAGGGGCTAGAGGGCAGGAATGGGGTAAATCCCCTCACTGTAAGTGGGAATCCACTTACAGTGGAAGACTCTTTAGCTAAGCAACAGTTAATGAGCTGGTCTTTGAGATCTGGACCTGTGAAAGCCGTCAGGGACTCCTTGGTGGAGGCGAACACAACCATGTTTCTTACACCAGTCCAGAGCAGCTCTGCAAAGCTTTAGAGTAGGCATTCAGAGAGATGTAGACTCCATCCTTAAAGGGTCTGAGCAGACCACAAGCTCAGGCCCAAATAACCAAGTGATTAAAAGAAAAGGTCATACAAGTGAAAAAGCTGTCTATGATGTCGACTCAACATTCTGCATACTTTCAAGCCCACCTTTGGCTTGTGAAGAAGGGACAGTGAATCCGGGGGCTGTGCGAGCACGAGATGAATAATCAAGAAAATGCAAGTTGCTGTCATGGCTACTTAGGGTTTTAGTTTAGCCGCTGAGGCGGTGAGTTTTCATATCAGGCGTACAGGACCACTCTGCTTGGTCCAAAGCGACACAGAAGTGATAAGACATGCTTCCTGCTGCCACTTGGGACAGGCATACAAGGCAAATCATCGACTTTCCAGGAACAAAGTCCAGCTGCACGAGCGTTTGCTGTTTATCCCCTTGTTCTATGGTTTGCTACCCCCGACAACATTCAGCAAAATGAGCTAAGGGTTACTGGTACGTAGGGAAGGGTGCAACACAAAATCAAACGGCACAGACGACAGAGATGCGCTATTACTGCCAAAGCAGGTGAATGCGGGAATGTCCTTGGCTTGGCCGGCTTTATGTGAAGCTTGCACTGCAAGTTAAAAAAAAAAAAAAAAAAAAAAAAAACAAAACAGAAAAAGTTAGAAATGATGACAAATTAAATGGAAAGAAAATTAGAAGCGCCAGCACCAGCGCCAGCATTCACCAATGGCGAATGCTCATGCAATGATTATGGGACTGACAGAAATTAAAAGGAAAGAAACCCAAGAAGGCTATTCTACAGGAAAAGCAAAGCAAACCTTGAATACTGAATGGAGAGCATGTGCTCTGTCTCCTTGTGCATGGAACTTATACTCATGAGAGACTTCTTGAAACAGTCCAGTGAAGGACCCACTGTTTCATTTGTTTTTTTTTTTTTTTAGTCAAATAACACAAAACTCCTGTCTATGAGTATCAGAAATCACTTAACAGAAACTTGATCTTCCACTTCTGGGCTGTGGAAGGAGTCAGAGAATAAACAGCCCAAAGGGGTCTTTGTACAGGTGACTTGGAGAAGAGATCTAAAGTAGCTTGCAAACTGGAATATAGAAGAAGGAGGGCATGCTACTGTCCAGCTAGGCAGGCCTGAAAAAGAACACGGTTAGAGCTACAGCAATGCCAGGAGCTTCCCCTCTCCCCCCTCCTAAGACCAAAGCAATGCCAAACCTGGGGTCTGCATGGCTAATTTTAGGCAAACCTAACATGCACCCAAACTGATTAAAAAAAACAAACTTGAGTAGATGGCCGAGTAAAGTGCAGTCGTTACATGCCAGTTTAAAAAGAGGACACAGAAAAGTCTCTTTGGGGTCACATGCATCTCAACAGCAAATGCCTCCTGGCAACTGTGTCCATCACTTTTTGCAGGACTTAGCCTAAGGCAGTCCTACCACAGTAGTGCAGCCCCGAACGAGGAAAGTGGCTTGGTGGTCAGAGATGGCAGAAGGTGGGGTCCAACTAATGGCAGGGCCAGGGTTAGTTCTACTTACCTATGTTTTTTAAAAGGAGTGTGTTGTTAGAATAGAAAAATTAAAAAGAGCTTAAAACTATTAGAAAGTGAATTGAGGCTGGCAGTGGGTGCACAGCAGATGGGGGAGCACACTCTGAAGCTTTCAACTCAGCACAGCTGGCTTCTAAGAGGCATGGGGCGACCCTCGCGTCTGCTGCAGGGATGGCCAGAAGGAAGAGCCTTCCTCTTCCTGCTCAGAGCGCTGCACTGGTTGCCCCGGTTACTGTCTCTCTGTGGTCCTCTCTAGCCAAAACCTTCCACTGTCACTGACAATAAGAGGGGTTCCCCCCCCCCCACTCATTTTTAAATCCAGGGTTCCAACTAGCCTTTGCTTTCACTATACAAGTGTACGTGTGGAAAGGGATAATGATTAAGAAGCAACACAAAAGACACATGCCACTGCCAGGCACCAAGCCCGGTGATTATTGTGAACCGAGTCTAACACCATCGATAGTAATTGAGAATATAGAAATAAAGCTAAAATAGATTGTAACACAGATGTCATGTAAACTTTAAAAGCATTATACACTGGTGAAGCCTAGGGTGGGGAGGAAATGAGCCAGCATGTTCCAAGCCAAAAAAAAAAAAAAAAAAAAAAGTCTGTTTCTAGATGGAGGTACAATAATCATCTGTTCTTGGAATTTTTAATGCTAAAAGGCACATCCAGTATACATGAAATAAGTGTTTTTTAACATTGCTGGTCTTTTATAAATGGTTTTAGTTTAAAACTTGTACCTCTGCACACTTTAATGCTTCAGGGTAAGGAAGACTACTCTTTGGGCTTCCTAAGCTCTGAATGAGCAGCCTTCTCTCTCCTCCCTCTCATACACACACACTCATGTCCATGCACATACACACAATCATACATGCAAACACAAACCTGGGGTTTCTTTCAGATAAAGGATTTGGATCAGGGTTCAATGCCGGATGGCTTTGATTCTGGCTTGCTATCCGGGGATGCCAATCTCAGTATGGCTTTCCCAACACACACACACATAGCAACAAAGAGTTGTACTGAACTAGATTATTGAGGCAGTTTGAGCTGCTGGACTCCTTTGGTGGCTTGGATCTATACCAACCCCAATTAAAACCATATGCTATCTACATGGCCTCCTGTTATTGCTTTGATCAGTTTCCCGCTCCTTTGTTCTCTGGACACATTTCCAGCTGCCTCAGAGCTTGCAAAAGCAATGTGTGTAGAGCATGACTTACCAGGCTTTCAATATGTCACCATAGCAGTGTAAAGGCTACGGCACACCACAGTTCCTTAGGGGTAAGCCTGCTGCGCACCAGCCAGGACTCAGTGTTGGCAGAATACTCAGACATACTCGCTGGGGACTGTGCAAGCTCAGTTGTAAGTGCTACATTTTTAAAAGAAGGGAGTCTTTTAAAAATCAGTCTCGCCATTTTTGCTGTTCCTAGTTGACTGATTTTCTCCCAGCACCTTAGTCATCTAAGGATGAAGAACCAGAACCCTTAAGCAGGTTCCATGAAGCAGGCTCCAGGCTTGCCTGGGTGGCTGTGCTAGCTCAGCAGGCTCTGGAGAGAAGCAAGGCACCCCAGGGCTTGTTCTGGAGCCGTGGAAGTTTTCCAAGTGCATCTCTAGCACCACACTTGTCAAAGCCACAGCTACTGTCACAACACTGCTCACCCTGCTCTTTGAGGTGACTCAGGGGACAGCTGCAAACCACAGAAGGTCAAGGAAGCGCACCTCTCCTGATAGTTCATGACAGCTGCTGCCAGGGTGTCACCGGAAGTGACGACACAAGCAGCACCTGGCCCTTCGGCACTTGAAATCAAGGCTGTATTGAAACTGCCCTGTGTGGGGTTCTGGGGTGGCCAAGGGCTGCTAGCCTATGCGTTTTGGTTGAGTTACACAATAAAATAATCCCTGGCTCGCTGAATTTAGAGACAACCCAGCACCCACCAGCTGCACTTTGGAATAACACTGGCTGGCTCGCCATACTGTCTAACAGAGCAGAGAACCGTGTGAACAACTGTGATTTTAGAATGTTCTTTTACCAGGAGTCATGAGAATGCCTCCAGAGGCATTAAAAGAAAGCCCCCCCACCCCACCCCCGTCTTCTCTGAGGGCTCCTGGGGTTGATACTGAAGCTGCCACAAGAGCTGACAGGCTACTCCAGTCCTGACTGCTTGATCACCACAGTGACATTTATCAGTTAATCCCTTGTACCCTTTAAAAATACCTTTACAAACCTCTTGTCATCTTCCCTGCACTGTAGAGAAAAATACTTGCTTTTATTTTTCTGGCAACAGACCAGTTTCCAGTCTGTAAGTAGGAAAGGTAGACATGCAAAAAGAAGATTGTTAGCGGTCCCCAGGAGGCGGGTGACACCTGCTTACTTTTTCTTATCCTTGTCCTTCTTGGTTTGCTGGGCCCCGGACTGCTGGGCCTGGGACTGCAGGAGCTGAGCCGCTGCCTTCTTCTTCTGGAAGTTGTTCACCTCCTCCTCAAAATCCTTCTTCTTGTCTTCCACCTTTTTCTTCTCCTCTTGGTGTGTCCGCTTCAGGAGGTCAAACTTCTCATGAAGCTGGGAGGGATAAAGGAAAATGGGCTCGGAGACGGGAATAAAAACCTGAATGGCACAGGCTATGTGGGCTTGTGCAAAATCACAGTGTGGAGTCCGTGGCTGCACCTGCACAGTGGTGGCTTGCATAAAAATGCCCCCCATACACTCAGATATTTGAACACTAAGCCATCAGGGAGTGGCACTATCTGAAAGGATTAGGAGGTGTGGCCTCACTGAAGGAAGTGTGTCACCAGGGAGGGAACTTCCTGCTGCCTGCAGATCCAGATGCAGAACTCTCAGCTCCCTCTCCAGCACCATGTCTGCCTGCACGAATGATGATAAAGGACTAAACCGCTGAAACTGCGAGTCCCCAGTTAAATGCTTCCTTACATGAGAGTGGCTGGGGTCATGGGGGGGTCTCTTCACAGCAGGGGAGAGTGACCAAGAGAAGCAGGAAGGATCTGGGTGGCTTACGGGAAAAATAAGGTGAGGATACTGAGTCCTGGGCACCTGACACTTGAGCTCCTTGGGCACTCTCTATGATAACAAGGTTCTTATTAGTTACTTTTTGGTATTTTGAAACAATGTCTCTCCATGTAGCCCATGGATCTTACTATGGAGACTGGGTGCCAGAGATCTGTCTGCCTCTGCTTCCTGAGTGCTGGAACTAGCATCATACATTACTGTACTCAGAAATAAAGTACATTATCTTTGAATGCACAAAGATGGCCAGTGAGGTGCTTGCTGCCAAGCCTGACCTGAGTTTGATCTCTGGAACCTACATGGTAGGAGAAAACAGATTCCTTCAAGCTATCTTCTGACCCACTCCCTCATTATTAATTTTAAATAATGTAACTTTTTTTTTAAAGCACGAAAAAAGTAAAAATTAACCATGAGACTAAAAACAAAGTCACCCTTGTGACAAAAGTAGGTTCTTGCTTTGGGGCCTTTATGAACACATATAAAATACTTTAAAGATTACAGTGTTCATACATATAGTATATTGTTCCTTCTCTTTCCATTCATATTCATGCATGCACACACATATGTGTGTGTATGTATATACACATATATACACACACACATAATATACATACATACATACATACACACATACATACATATTAGCTAAATGTTTAAATAGCTCAGTGTAGATGGTCTACCATGCAGGTGTGAGGCTCTGTCTTGATCTTCAGAATCAAATGATAAAAACAATCAGAAACAAAAACCAAAAGGGAGAGGCTACTAAAGTCTGAATTTTAACCCATCATCCACTTGGTTAAGGTCAGCTAATAAGCTCAGTTTTCATTTCTCTGCAGCAAAATCATTTTAAGCACATTTAGCTTCACAGAAGGTTTATCTATTTTCATGTGCATGTGTGTCTGTGTACCACTTGCATGCCTACAGAGATGAGAAGTGGGCACCAGTTCCTCTGGAAGTAAGTCACAGACAGTTGTAAGCCATTGTGTAGGTGCTGGGAATTGAAGCCCGGACCTCAGGAGAAAGAGCAGCCAGTGCTCTTAACCACTGAGCCATCCCCAGCCCCAAGTTTCCCTAGTCCTTTAAAATACAAGGTAAGATGCCAACATTATTTCAAAGAGTACTGAGCCAGAGGGAAGTGCTGTAGTAAAAATTCATATTAACAGTGAGGCTGGCCTGGGCGGGGATCCAGGTGGAGTCAGAGGGCCCCATAGCAGGGAAGGTATTGGAGTGGGCAGTGGGCAGGAGTGTAGGGTGCCGCTAAGACTGTAAGGCAACGTGTCCACTGTTTAGCTCCCTTAGTTGGCCGGACCCCAAATCTCACATTTGAAGACTTACAACTTGTGCAAACTCACCAGCTGAAAAGACTACGTGATCAGGGCTAGAGACCCAAGATCTGGTTTTAGCCTTGGCGACTGCAAAAAAATCCTGCACTTCATGGCTCTCGGTTTACCATCTGCTAAGTGGGGGCGGGAGTATCTGGCCGGCTTTCCTCGTCTGGTGGGAAAGCTGTTCTTGTGAGAAAGGGGAAGGAGAACCACCTTGTACCAGTGTGGGGTCCTGTCAGTTGCAAAGTACTAATAAAAAGCCTCCGGTCTCAGCATCCTGGAGGATACACAGCTCACCTCTTTCTCCGCCTCTTTAAGCTCTGCTTCTTTCTCCTTCACTCTCATGACAAACATCTGCCTCATCTCCTCTTCTTTCTTCTGAAGCTCTCCCAGGAACTCATTCCTTTTTGCTTCATACGTCTCTTGAAGACTATTAAAAACCCACAGACCAAGACAGGGCATGAGACAGCGTCATACATTTCAGGTCATGTCATTTCTCCCCCCCCCCCCAATATTCCAAAAAGAGGCAACTGCCGCTTTACCACACTAAAGCATGAATGAAGTGAGTTTCCTTCTTCTTTATGCACAAATACGTCCAAAAGCATAACACAACACCAAGGGCTAACCAATCAGAATTAAGAGTTCTGCAAGATGGCGGGTCTAGTATCACAGGTGAAATGGCAGGTGTTGGAGTTGGACAGTGCTGCAATTCTGGCCTCCCCTACTGACTGACCTTGGTAAACACAGCTCTCTCACCCCCTACACAGGGATTTCAGACACAGTAGCCTTCACCTCCCTGAGATGAGGCTGTGCTAATGAGTTATGAGGAAATGAGAAAAGCATATAACATACAAGTGATGCTTAATGAGGAGGACTTGCCCTCCTCCACTCATCTCTCTCTAACCGCCAACGAGAAAGGCAGACTTAGTGAGAAATATCAATAAAAATATCAGCAACAGAGTCAGCAGCGTGATGGGGGGAGGGGGGACGGATGGATAGAAGGATGGACTGCTTGCCTGCATAGGCAGGAAGGCAGCCCAGGCTATCTTGGTAAAAGGCAAAAATGGCTCCTCCTCATGTTAGCAGGTACAGGTAACATCCCATATCCTCAAAACCCTCAAATTCCAGAACTCAAAAGAACATAGGTGTGTGGAATGGTTTTTAACACAATGAGAAGCAAATTACCTCTAACAACCTAGGTGTCCAGGCTATGACCTAGTACCAGTGTTGGTAGATTACAGAAACAGATCCAGCCCTTTCCTTCCTGTTATTGCCAGGAAGGTTTTACTGGCTGGAACTCAGACATGCACATCCATTTCTATTACGGTCTAAGATGCTTTCCAAGGAGACAGGCAGAACTGGGTAGCTGTGATGACTCTATGGTCTGTAAAGAGAGTCCTCCTGCTCTGTCTAGTTGATTCCCTGATCTGGCCAGATGTGTTAAAGACATGAGTAGCAGCAGAGCCAAGACTTGAACTCAGGCTCCTGACACACAGGGGTCCTCCACACTATCTGGCCACTGCATTCAACTTTACAGAAGTTTCTTTATTCCACTTATATGAATGTAAACCAATAATCTATACAAAAGCCATTTTTTTTCATCAGACTTAATAACCCTCGATTGGGCTTGATCTTATGGGTTTGTTTTCCAGGAAATACGTTGCAAGCACGGAAAGGCCTGCTATACCTGCCTTCTCAGAGCCACATCCTACCTGGCTGAAGACAGTCCACGAGACTGGATTAAATGATGAATGGCTAGAAGTTTGTCCTTTGTGTGAGATTTATATTTGTTCTCACCAAATGCATATGGGAGTGCAGCTGTCTGTGTGGGGAACTAGCCCAGAAAGTACTGAACTTTCTCCAAAGTGGTTCCAAGAGAGAACTCCTCCCACAAAGGGGGCTTCTCAGACGACTGTAGACGTCTGCTTCACTGAGCATTGGTGGCCTTGAGTTCTTTGGCCAGCCATCAGTTCTATCTATGGCTTGTAGATTTCACAGTGTCCTCACAGTGGCCATAAAAGATGGAAAACAGGTTGTTCAAAGGCACTGTGGCTTTAACCAGAAGAGGCTCAGAGTCCAGACAGACCTCATGTTAGCCCAACTGAGATTCCCCACTAAGAAACTGCTCAAGTTCAAACTGGACAATCCCTTTCTCTACCAAGAGGTGGCGACCTGGACTAGAGCTTCACCAATCAGTGACTCAAGAGCCTCGCCTCCAATCAAGCCAATCAGGCTATCCTTTCCACTGGGAAGCTCTGTTGGAAGGTGGGCATTTGCTAGGGTGCTGAGCCTACCTTCCTTTAAAACTTATTTTTATGCATAGGGGTGTTCTGCCTGAATGTATGTATGCATCACATGTGTACCCACTGCCCAAAGAAGCCAGCATATAGTATTAGACCCCTTTGAAGCTACAAATGGCCATGAACCTCGATGTGGGTGCTGGGAATCAAACCCAGATGCTCTGCTAGGGCAGCCAGCACTCTTAACTGCTGAGCTGCCTCTCCAGCTACAATTGCCTTTTCTCCTTTTCACACTTTGCATACCCACCCGTCACTGAGGTGAGAAATACACAAACTTTCTAAGCTCTTTCCTTTCTGACCCTGTCAGAACTGCACACCAGTGTGAAAGAACACGGGAACCTGAGGGCTGGAGAGATGGCTCTGGGGTAAGCCGCTGGCTGTCCTTCCACAGGACCCGAGTTTGGATCCCAGAATCCATGCAAGGCGGCTTACCTGTAATTCCAGCGCCAGGGGATCTGACACCCCCTTCTGTCCTCTGTGGGCAAGTGTGCACACACGCATACACACTTATTTTAAAAAGAGAATTTGAAAGCTAGGAGCCTTAGGAAGTTAAATCTGTTCAGCACAGATGAATGTGGCAAATGTTAGCCAGCATCTGCACCCTGTGGGGGCATGGGTCAGGCACCTCACCCCACAAAAATAATTAATTAGGAGCTTGGGCTCAAGAGCCAGGATTCAGGTCATCTCCTTTTCCCTAACTACTAGGACTTCGGGCTTATATTTTGGGCACTCTGAATGTTAGCACTGGTAAGTGAGGGCAGCAATCACAACACCCATATCACTTAGCAGAGATAATGAAAAGTGGTTATCACAGCACCTGATGACTTGTCCCATTAGCCCCTCCTCACCGAGCTGCTCTAGTACCTACCAGAGCCTCAGTCCCAACAACCCTTTCTATGGTACCTCGACACACGGCCCTGGCCACGAGCTAAGACTCCTGTCTGCTGTGTATGCTCGTACCTGAAGGGCTTGCTGTCGGGGTCGGTGTCCTTGAAGCCCATCTCCTCAAGTTTACAGCGCCGATACAACTCATAGTGACGAGTGTGTGTCTGCTCTCGTAAGTCCTCCATGTTCACACGGATCAGCATCTCCCTCAGCTTCACAAAATCGCAGTGGTTTTCATTTTCAACTATTAGAAAGCAGCCAAGAGGAAAAAGGCCATCAGCAGTGAAGTTAAAGAAAATCAACATGACACTCTGGAGGGGTTGTCCCTGTCCCTCCAAGGTCTCGAAGGCATAGAGGATGTCTTGGTGGCTCTTCCATCCATCCCTGATGGAGCAGCTTCCCAAAGCGTTCCTGTACCTTCTGGACCATCCTGCCATGCAGATTGTGACTCACTTTGCAGGTGCACAGGTCTGGATTTGGGGTACAGCTGACTGCCCAACTGAGGTGACATGTGGCTCCAAAGACAGATGTGTAACCAGCACTTTGTGCTGTCCCAACCCAGCGGGGCAGCATTCAAATACTACCGCTATTCCCACCACCACTATTCCCAACCACCTGATATTTACTGAAATATTACTTCCTTGGAAAACAACTTTCCCAGCAAGCAGGAGAAAACAAGAGCACTCTTGTTGGAAGACTTTCTCCCAGCTTTCTGATGTTCTGCTGATACAAATGGCTCAAACTCCCTATGAAGAACTCTTTCCTCTTTTAGGACTTCTTGCTAATTTCCACACAGCCCCACATCTTGAGGGGCTGCCTTGGGCTCAGGGCTTGCACGTGCATCTTGGCGTGACTACCTGCCAGATGACCATTTCTTTCTTCCTCACACCCATGGTGGCTAAACAGTCCCACTCATTTCTACCTACACCATGTGGGTGCCTCCCTACACAACGTGTGTGGGGGGGGGGGATGTGGCCATCATTTCATCACAGGCACTCACTGAGAGTCCCTTTCCCATGACAAGACATACCCTGAACCACACCCCAGGGGTACTGCCTGGCCTTGGCCATCTTGTTGCCAATTTTGACCTCTTCAGTGCTGCCAACCACTGCGAAGGGGAGATGAACCTGTTGGGCAACAGAAGAAGCAAGAAGTCATCCTTAGCAGCCCCAACCTCAGCCTCCCTTGACTCCATCACTCTCCCTGCTAGCAGGACCACATGCTCTCCCTGCTAGAAAGGTGGTCACATGAAGGAGGATGGGGCAATCCCTATAGCTGGGCAGATGCCTTTCATGAAATGTACTCTCTGCAGCCAAATAAAAACTAGATTTTAAGGACCAGCTTTCGTGGCATGCCATCTGCCACAGCTGCCACCCATTACCTGCATGCATAGGGGATTCAAAACACAGCTTGTGGAGGATTGGAAAGATGGCTTAGTGGTTAGGATCACTGGCTACTCTTCCAGGAAACCTAGGTTCAACTCCCAGCAGCCACATGGTGGTGATTAACAAGTATCTGTAACTCCAGTTCCAGAAGATCTGATGCCCTCTTCTGGTCCCCATAGGTACTGCACACATGTGGCACATATACAAAACAGCCATACACACAAGTAAATCTTTGGAAATAAATTTAGCTTGTGGGATCAAGATGATCACTTTTAAATTTCACTTACTTGTTTTTTTGTTTTTTTTTTTTAAGATTTATTTAGTTATTTAGTGTGCCGTGAGGTTTTGCCTGCATGTATGTCTATATAAAGCTGTCAGATCACCTGGGTCCTTTGGAAGAACAGTCAGTGCTCTTAACCTCTGAGCCATCTCCCTAGCCCCTCATTTACTCTTAAATTGATTCACGTTTAAATTTAAAAAGGGAAGTAATGCAAAATATCTTCCCATTAAATATTAAGTTTATTGATTGGTAGGAGTTTGCATTTCATTTAGCTTTGAGCTCAAATCAAGTCTTAAAAAAAAGGAGAGAACAGTTTTAAGAAAAACGATCTTAGGTAGCCATCTTCATAATGAAGGACTTAGAAGCATGTTAGGAATAACGAATGCATGGTCTGCCTCTTGACTGCAATTTCATGACGTATGAATGCAGATCAGTTGTTTCTGGTGGACAGGAACTCTGACCTGAGATTCAGGGTCATTAGAAGTAAATAAACACTGGATTCCAAAGGGCTGTCATGGAAGCATCACATTGGAGAGGTCTAAAGAGACTGTGCCTAGCTTACATTGCATTTCTGTTGAACGAGACTGTTCTAGTTCCTGGCTTTGCAGAGCTGGGGTGGGATCCAAGGCCTTGCATCTGCTAGGTATGAGCTGACCACTGAGCTGAGTCCCCCAACTCCATAACTATTTCAGAGGGCTCCTCAATGCACAAATTCCAATTCAGAAATACACTTTAGCAAGATCCAGCCTTGCACCCCAGCTCAGCTCAAGAAGAGATGGTATGGTGTCCAAGGCAACGGACTCTTCCACACTGGGTTATCTGGTAGTTATGGCTCCATTCTGGCTGTGGGGGAGAAAACTGCTTCCCACTTCACACTGAGTGAGCAGTGGCTCTGAGAAATTATTGTTTACAGTTCCCTGTCCACTGCTGGAAAGGATTAGAAGATTTCCAAGGTGAATCTTCTTCCACACAGAATCTGACAGCATCCAAAGCTCAGGTTGAACACATGGCATTTTGTGTGATGCACAAGATATATGCATTCCCTAGTCCAGGGTATCTGAGATGGTTCAGCAGTTACAAAGAGTACAATGCTCTTACTGAGGACCAGAGTTCTGTTCCCAGCACCCACATTTGGGGGCAACTCACAACCACTCCAGATCCAAAGCCTCTGGTCTCAAATACATATACTCACATTCACACCCATACACACAATTGATTCCGTTTCTTTGTTGTTGTTGTTGTTGTTGGTGGTGGTGGTGGTGGTGGTGGTGGTGGTGGTGGTGGTGGTGTGTGTGTGTGTGTGTGTGTGTGTGTGTTTAACTTGAGACAGGAGTGGTTGGCTAATCTCGGGAGGAGGTCTCTGTAGTGATGAGTAACCCTCAGGAAGAAGCTGCAGTCGCTAGTCACTAGTTACTTGTTGGTGTACACTTGTACTTGCACACCCTGTCGACAGTCACACTTAGACCAGAGAAAGGCTTTGCTATCCCTCTGAGCCTCATAGTTTGGGGTAACAGTGGGGTGGTAACAGCACTATCATTCCTACAGACCTGAGGCACTGGCCTTTGATGCTGTTACCCCATTTCGACACATGTTCCCTCAGGAATCCAATAGCACACTCAGGGCTCCCTCAGCTCTCCACAAGTAGGGGTTAATGTGAGCAAAGTACAATAACATTCACTTCTGAAAACCATTATTTTTGTGCACTAAAAGTTAATTTATAACTCTCTAAAATAGGTAAATAAATTATGGCTGGGGGTGGGGGGAGGAGCAACTGGTCCAGTCATAGTGACTTATGCCTATAACCCTAGCACTCAAGAGGCTGAGGCAGGAGGATCAAGAGTTTGAAGCTAGCCTTGGCTATACTTCTGAGTTTGAGCCCAGTTTGGGATAGATAAGACCTGGTCATGAAAACAATTAAAGGGTTGAGACTGCTCATTTATCTCCTGATGGCTACCTCTCTGCTGTGGACAGCACCCCCTCGCCTTCTGGTTTACCTACGGATTCAGGAAAGCATGGGGAAAAGCTCAGAGGAGAAGGCAGTACTGAGGCACAGAGGCCAGTGACCACGTTTCTGCCAACATGGCCAGGGTAAGGGCTCCCTCATTTGAGTTGCTTTTTAGGAGCTATTGGACCAGTGTCACATTCCTAGAAGACTCATTCCTCATAGAAACCAAAAACAATCCCGCCTGTCTTTCCCATTTGACAGCTAGGAAAACTGAGGCACTGGCTAGTTAAATGATTCACAGCAATGGCAGAGCTGGAGTCCCAATGAAGACCTCAGCACAGGCTTTTCCAGCCCCTCTGCAATGTTGTCTGGAAGGCCTCCCTCCAGTCCCCATTTGACTAACGACTTACACTCATCGTTGCATTAATCTCGGCCACCGTTTCCTCATCTGTGGGGAACTGATATATCTGGACTCCATTGCTGACCAGTTCACTCATGATCTTACTCTTAAATTTGTGCAATTCATTCTTGGCAATGGTGTCAGCTTTTGCAATTATTGGGATGATGTTCACCTATAAAACAAGCAGTTCACTCATGATCTTACTCTTAAATTTGTGCAATTCATTCTTGGCAATGGTGTCAGCTTTTGCAATTATTGGGATGATGTTCACCTATAAAACAAGCATGTCAATGTTCACACAATCCTGCCGCCGCAAGAAAACTAGACAATGAAAAATACGGCAACAAGACAAAAGCTGAAGGGTACCACTGCAAGATGCAGGTGATGCTAACAATCAGGCATCCTTACAGGGTACCACTGCAAGATGCAGGTGATGCTGACAATCAGGCATCCTTACAGGGTACCACTGTAAGATGCAGGTGATGCTGACAATCAGGCATCTTTACAGGGTACCATTGTGAGATGCAAGTGATGCTGACAATCAGGCATTCCTACGATGTGAGAGTCAGACACAGAATCATCATCTTAGCTCACCCTCTGAACGCTGACTTCCTCGAATCCCACACTGATACTTGTAATTTCCTCTGCTGGACCGCCTCCCACTTTACAGAGTAAAAGGAAGTGTTTCTACTTTATGACAAACAGTGGCAAAAAGGAAGTCAGTCCACTCTTTGAATAAACAGCCAGTCCTTTTGGGGGCTTGATTTTTGCATGCCCATGCTGGGCTGCTAAAGCACAGCATCATGGGTACTATGCAGGGTCCCCTTTCCTTTCTTCTGATGACATGAAAATTTCTGGGAGAGTCAAGTATTAAGCCAAAAGAAAAAAAAATAATAAAGTAAAATATTTTTAAATTACCTATTTTCTTAAATATCCAAACTCAGAGTTACTTCTTTGGAAAATCAATTTTTATCAAACAACATTTTCATCTCATAAAAAGTTCCAGTATCAAAAGCAAGGCTCACCTTGAGCATAGCGGCATGCACATAATAATCCTAGCACTAAGGAGGCAGAGTCAGGAGGATGAAGTGTTCAAGGCCATCCTCAGCTACACAGTAAGTCTGAGGCTGGCATGCGCTACATGGAACCCTGGCTCAAAACCAGCAATGCTCACTTTCAAAGTCTCAGCTTCAAAAAACGGGTGCATTCAAAGTCTGACATAATGGCCGACAGCCCAGAGAGAGCCCAGGGCACCTAGGAATGCAGGCTCAAAGCCTCAGGGTGGGACGCTGTTTCTTATTCAGCCAACCCTGTCCAAAGGACACAACTTGCTTGTTTTCTCTCTGTGCTCAGGCTGGTTGGGACTCCTGCCTGATTCTCCAGTCTCCACCTTCTGAGTGATGGGACCACAAAAATTACATTTTTTTTTTAAAGTTCATGGTTTAGGATGAGCTTTCTCCTTCTTCATAGGCACAGGGTTTTATTTAGTGAATGCTATGGAGATCTGTATTGAGACTCTGCCCAGCTCTGGAGCTCACAGTCTTTTGGTCACATTTGAATTTTTTCTTGTTTTTTTTTGTTTGTTTGTTTGTTTTGTTTTTTTTGTTTTGTTTTTTGTTTTTTGTTTGTTTGTTTTCCAGAGCTGAGGCCGGAACCCAGGGATTTGCACTTGCTAGGCAAGCGTTCTACCGAGCTAAATCCCAGCCCCCAACCCCTTTTTCTCCAAGGGCCAAATCAGAAACTCCTGACAAACCAGAATGTGAGGACATACTGACGAAGTGTTTGTCTTCAATCTATCTCTCACATCCTCCCAAACCCCACCGGGCTCAGGCTTCCTCCAGTGAAGGGGGCTTGATCAGCAGAGAAAGGGCTTGATCAGAACCCGACGCACCTGCTGACTAACTGGGCACACACTTCAGACTGACATGGAATCAACAAGGGCACCTAGTCATGGTTCCCTGCCAAATGGTCAGGGTAGACAGAGACACCCAACCATCACATGGGCAGGCAGGTACAATCTTCTAAAATGATCATAATTGCTTAACTCACCCCCCCCCCATCTTTACAAATGAAACTGCATTAAACAGCAGTGACAGATGCCACCTCGCTCTCCAACAGCACCATAATTGAGTTGTCTGAAAGTTCAAGCTACTTTCCAGTTGGACTCTGGTTTGTGTTGTGTTTGTTCGCCCTTAGTTTTTCCCTTTTCCTTTGAACTCTCAGACAGAGAGCCACCCCCTCCCTCCTTTCTTCAGAATGGGTGCTTAAGAGCAGAAGGGCCTGCCTGTTTCCAAGGACAAAGCCGGAAGGGAGAAGTCCTCCCCATATGGCATCTGCCACCACCAGGGCAATGCAAAGCTCCCGGAATCAAAGTTCAGAGAATTGAACAGAGTGAGAAGAATGCCTGTCATGATTGCTGAGCCCTCTGGTGGTGGTAGTAGTAATAATAATAATAAAAGTAACAATAATAGTAATGTTTCAAGAGATTCTTTCTGTAAGGTACCAATGCCCATGAATGCTGGAACCCCAAGGAGCCTGGCTGGTCCAGTTGATTGCTGAATAGTTTCTCTGTTTTAGTTCTCGGGCAGAGAAAGAATCTTTTTAAACATTTTTTTTTTGGGGGGTGGTATACCCAATAACACATCCTAGGGCCTTGACCATCCAGTAGGAATCTCTACTGAGTGCCCAAGTGGGGGGGTTAGAGTCTAGGAGAAAGGACCACGGCTTAGTTTGTGGTTGCTCTTGATGCCCTTTCTATCATCTAAACAACATACTGTTTTCTGTTTATTTCAAAACTGAATTAATTACAAAATTAGACATCATTTTATCATACTAAAGATACCCCTTCCTTTGAGAGCTGTAATAACAAACATGGCAAGCCCAGGTCAAAAATGAAATATAGACTTTATTTTCTGTTGAGACAAATGTAGTTTTAAAATCTAAAGGTCTGACTGTCCTCGAGCAGGCAAAACATTAAAATCTGATACCACTCTAAATTCAAATTACAGCCAGAGCTTTATAGACAGACCTTCAGGAGGGCAAATAAACATGGTGTTTACATTCCAATTCCCAATTAAGGCCTAAGTGTAGTTTCCTGTGCTAGTTTTGTCTTTTCATGACTTAGCACTCAGAGGAAGTTTTTATGGCACTCGTGGCATGCGGCTATCTCTGTAATCTAGGAAAACAGAAAGCATTAAAAACCCAGCTTAGAGAAACGGTTAGAGTGAATGGAGCCGCATCCAGTACCTTGCTGTCTAGCTTCTTCATGGTGACCAGATCCAAGGACTTGAGGGAATGTCCTGTGGGGGCGATGAAATAAAGGCAGGCGTGGATCCTCGTGTCATGGTAATTGAAGAGAGAACGTTTAATTTTCAATTCCTCTTGCAAGTAGGCCTCAAACTGGGCATCAATATACTCCACTATAGGCTTATAGCTAGAATGCAGAAAAATATTCTTTTTAAAAAACATTTTCAACCTCATATTTTAGCCTCAACACTCTTACAGGAAGAAAGCAATACGTTAATTATTGTGGGAAAGCCCATTAACCCTTTCAGTCTCCAAGGGAACCAATCAGAGGAACTTCATTTTAGCAGCAAAGACAGAGACCTATAAGGAATGCGAGGTGTTACTTCTCTCCAAACTTATTTTCTGTTGTAAGTTCGTAAGAACAATTCAGTAATAGGAAAATAAGGTTTTCAACGCCCAGATCCGAGAACCTTACTTAAGGTGTTTTGAGCCAGTCTTGATATGTAGCTAGCCTTGAACGCCAATGTAAAGGATGATGATTGATAAGATTCTCTTGTTTCTCAATTTTGAAACATAGGCACAGCTTACATGACAACACTCATGCTTGTTATTTTCAAATGGTTGTGTAAGAGAACCGTGGATTCAGGCCAAAGTGCCTGAGCCCAAAAGCAAGCATCATAACCCTCAACTCCATGGCCTTGGACAGGTCACAGAACCTTTCTGCCCTTCACTTTCCCCAAAAATAAGCCAGGCAGCAAAATAATACACACTTCCAAAGCAGTACCAGCAGTACCAGGAGGTACATGAAAGAAGGCAGAGATCAAGGCTACACAAGTTCCAGACTAGCCTGGGCTATAAGAGACCCTGTCCTTAAAAAGGTAAAAATAAAACAAAATAAACACTTTTTAATCACAAGTGAATGAACCTAGTAGATGTGAAGAGTATGCACCTCAAAAGTATTCCATAATACCATAAACACAGAATGCAGCAAATCCAAGGAAAGTGGCTGGAATTTTTAAAGGGAGAGGGAAAGAGAGGGAGAGAGGGGGGAGAACTAACAACTCCACACTCTCTTCAGTACCTGCTTCCCTAGTGCAGAGCCCCACCCTATGGGGAAGTGAGCAGTCCAGATCAGCCCATCATGTCTGAGGAGTTGAGCCACAGGGTTTCCTAACACTGTGGCAGGATGCTCTGTCTCCTCAGCAACCTCTATTCACAATGTGTCCTTGCCTCCCTGTTTCTGAGTCTGGGCTGTCCCTGCCTTGTCTCAGTCCAAACTTGTTTCTGCTGTCTACTCATTCCCCTTCTTGACTCTTGTCTTGGTGCATCTCTATGCTGGGGAGGGGTGCGGTGGTGGGGGCATGGCGGACACCTCTGCACAGAGGACACTACTTTCAGACCTGGGGTTTTGAGTCCTTTGTTCTCTCTATCCCCTAGGCCTCTTCTGCTGCTTCTACCAAACTCCTGCCAGCCCTTCACCCTCTCTTCCTCTGTGGTCGTCCTGGAAAACCACATTTATTCTGACCATCTCTTTGATGACAAGTCAGAGCTCTCCACCTCCAGCCCCACCCAGTCTTTCCGCTGAGCTCCAGATCCATGCATTCAACTGCTTATAGGATGTCTCCAATTGTTTCTCCGAGCCCCTTAGGAGCCCTTCCTCCCCGCTTGTCACTTTCAGCCTGTGGGTGCCAGAAACCTGCACTGCAACATGTAGACCCCCTCCCTCTCCTTCACAGCAAGAACTCTCCTCCATCGAGCATATGGAGGGAAGGCCTAGTCCGTGAAAGATAGAACTATCCCACCAACATCGCTAGCAAAATATCCAATCAATAAAAGGCATGAGCCTTTTTAAAGCAAGGAGGAGGAAGACAAAGGACCTCAAAGAAGAAAAGAAGAGAGGAAATTACATCATTACAAACAGACAAAAGCCACGGACTCTTAGAGAACAATTTCCTTAGGCTAAAGTTTCATTATGGGAATGAAACAATGAACTGTTTCCTCTGGGAAAACAGGCCAGCTAGTGGTCTGTTCTCCCCCACAGTACCCTTGAAACAAACATTCCACTGTACCTCAACCTCCTTTCACTTCTTGCTATCTGTATTTATAGAAAGATAAATCTTAAACCTAACTACCTTTTGTCAGTTTCCATTGCTACAGAAAGAACACTTGTCTGTGTTCTGTGTGGCCAATTCAAACTTCTCTAGATTGTCGTCCTATCAAGTGTTTAGGAGGTAGAGAGAACAAAGAAGTTATTATACTTTAACATACTTTCCTTTTAAGGGATTATTCCTTACCACTACTAATTTGATTCATTCACTTCTAGCCATTAAAATAGTGAAATGAGACGTGTTAGCCCTAAAATTACAGGGCAAAGCTAGTTTATGTGAATTTTTTCCTATGATCATTCTTGCAAAATGGTATTATTTGCACACTGACTCCATGACTAAAGTGTTTTTCCTCTTCTCTTGCTATGTTAACCAAAGACCACTTTCCTTACCTCTAACCCTCTGCCAGGAAGCTGGCTAGAAACTTGGAGTTGAAAGGTCAAACACTACTTCATTGCTGATTTGTAAGTGTGGTGGAGATGGGGATTCTCTCAGTGGACTGGATTGTTCACACTTCTCAGGCTGGTTACCTTATAGTTCATGGCATCTCCCAAAGGTGGGGTAAGCTAACCTGGTTCTAATTACGGAGCAAGACCTCATGGGTTCTTGCCTCTCCTGACCCCCTCCCCTCACCCATTGAGTGTAGACAGCCAGAGCAAGGAAGCCCTTCAACAAGCCTTAAACATAACAGGAAATCCTCCCAGGCTCCTCTTCCTGCCTCCTTCTAGCTAGCCAGGTCAAAGGCAGATAATGTTCCAAGTCTATAAACATACTGGGACATTCTTGATGTCCTGGGCCTATGGCTATAAAGCTTGCCTAATACAAAAAAGATAAGTCCGACTTGGACAGAGAGTGCATCTCTTCCTATATGGTTACACACTGATACAAAAATGCATATCCCACTTCCAATATTCTGATGGAAACAGACCAGACAGCAACTATTTTTAGATAAGTAAGTCATTTAAGTTTACAGTCAAATGTCAACAATGCCTTTTGAGGCATGGGTCTAGAGCTCTGAAAGCCATTCAAAAGGTTATGCAAGAGTTGTAAAGAAATTAAAGAGGAAAAAAAATATTTGGTATCTAGGTTAGGTTAATATCACACTTCCTCTCTTCTGAGTCTCCTTGGAAACTATTATTTGACCCAAATGAGTCAGATAATTTCTTAAAGAGGGCTCCAGATGCAGATATGAGGATCTGTAGGGTGCTAGCTTAGCTATTTTGCAGCTTGTGAAAAGCTACCAGCCTGAGGGGAAGTCTTGGCTAGGGGTGAAGCAAAAGAAAAAAGAGTGGCTGTATTGACTACAAGCTGGAAAAGCACATGGGGCTGCAGCAAGATGTCAGGCGGAGGCTGCCGAAGCCTGTGGGAAGCCCAAGAATCCAGCCAGGGAATGCATAAACACGAAATCCCCTAGCTCCCAGAAGAAATCTATCCTGCAAAGAGCCAAGACAGGCTTTCCTCTACGCTCGTCCTGGACAGCCCAGGGAACAGGAGCCCCTGGCTCTGTCTCCAGTTCCCACAATGCACCCGTGCCCTTCTTCTGGTCCCCAGGATTTTCCCCTACTGTGCTGCACTTCAGGTTAAAATGGCCATCAGGCACAACCTCCCCATCGTGCTTGGGCACTGAAAGTCAGAGGAAGGTCAGTCACACACATAGAGCCTGCCTGTCCCTTCCCCAGCTGAGTATAGATGGACCTGCTTTGATCATATGCAAATGAAGACCTTGTCACTGAAGTAAGAGTTGCCTGTGTTATCACAGGACAATGTCTACTGCAGAGTGTTTCAAGTGCTCTGCAGATAAAACAGACCACATTGCTCAGCTACAGAATGAATTGTGTATTTCTGTCATGACCTACCTTACTTATTTCTGCTGGCTACTGTTACAATGTATCTAGACAGCACACATTCCTACACAAAAAGGTTAGCAACACCTCTTTACAGAACACATCCTCTCCAACACACAATTTTGAGGAAAGGATTTTTCAAAACTCTGCCTTGGACACCGTTTATAAGCAAAACATCCCACAAGTATGAGGGGTGATATAGCCTTATAATGCTGTCATTATCCAAAAATGTGTTGAGATGGTTCTAGTCTTCTTCAATCACTTTATGCATGAACTTAACCCCTAAAAGTCTAGCAGGTTCCACACTGAGAATGGCAGCCATCTGCTATTGATGGAGGCAAGGGGGCCTCCTGGGCCTGAGTGCCTGTGTCAAGCTACCCTCCCCGCAAGGACCATGAAATCTACATGGTCTGGCCTTGGCCTCATGGTTTTCTATAAATTATAAGGCACTATACCACAGGTATAGTGATAGAAATGAGGTTATCTCTCCTTGGTTTGGTCACACTGCAAGGAAGCCTGCTTCCTTCAGACTACAGGGAAACTGGACAGGAGGTTCAGATACCAGCTTGAGAATAAGTGGAATATTTTAAACAGTCAAGAATTCTGAAGTTAAGATTGAAGAGTGGGTTCAGAGACCGTGAAAGCAGCAAGAGAATGACCCTGCGAGGATAGTTAACGTGCACACCCCACTCTGGCTTCCCTCAAAGAGAGGCAAATGCCACTCACGGTGAAGACCCACACTTATGAGGCTTTGCAAACGGGCTACTATTTCACAAAATAAAATTCACTGCAGTGTTTTACAATATAGCTTTAAGCTTATGCAATGAATCAGGGCCAGATTTCATGGACTACACCAGAATCCACTGGTAGTGAGCAGTATCTACCTATATACAAACCACCATGCCAAATGGTTTGAAAACATTTCATATTTTAATTAAAAGTTATTTACCCAAGCACACACAGGATTTTGTGTTATAAATTACCTAATTAGATAATTTTCTCTATGCAGAGGAAATTTTAATTCATCCAATTGATCTGAATTTCTCATTAGGCTTGACCCTCCCTCCCAGTTGTCACGTCAACACTATTTGGTAATTCTGCACCCAAAGTCGACTAGGCCTTTGAATGTACCTGGGATGGAAGCTTCCTTGAGCCACCCATCTCCTGACCCATTTCTATAGCTCCAAAAATCTCAAAACATACCTGTCATCTTTATTAATCTGGTCTCCAAATCCCACGGTGTCGACAATGGTTAGCTTCAGCCGTACATTGCTCTCCTGAAGTTCGTAACTTCTGGCTTTTAACCGGACACCTGGCTCATTGTGAGTAGCTGGGTCACTTTCAAATTTGGTGTTGAATAAAGTGTCCATCAATGTGGATTTGCCAATACCCGTCTCACCTATATAACCACAAAAGAAAAATCAAAACTGAGTTAAAAGGCAGGGAGGGCAATATCTCCAGAAATTCCACTGCAAATCACATAGTTCTTTCTATGGATGACCTATGGAACACTTCCTTAGAGAAGCTTCTGAGTTCATAAAGTATTGCGCAGAAGAGGGCTTGAACTTACAGATCAGGATATTTTCTAGTAGTCAGGCCCAGGCCCGATGGTACAGGCTTGCTATCCCAGCAACTCAGAAGGTTGTGGTAGGAGGGTTACACATTGAACAACTTAGCGAGACTCTGCCTCAGAATAAAATGTTTAAAAAAAAAAAAAAAAAGGCTGGGGATACAGCCTTGTGGCAGAACTGCCTGGCGCACATGAGGCCCTGGGTTCGATTCCTAGTATGGAAAAGAAGACATTTTTAACCCCTACATAGTCAGCACTTGTGAGTCTGCCTATGGCCACTTTGTACACACAAGGATAAAAACTATCTCTTTTCCTCCTGAATGTGTCTGTAAAGTTTATTACTTAAGCAAAGATACATTAGTAGATTTAATGTTCAGAAAAAGTATATATTTCAGAACAACTCTTTGGCAACAATCATCACCAAAGCTGCTAAGTGCTTACTTTGTGCCACGTCCACAAGAGGAGGCTCCACATAGCCCTTCATTTATACTCCCTGGCCCCCCACACCTAGGCACTGAAGTTTCCTGCAGACAGAGCTCTAAGGCGCCTAAATATCTTGGTTAAAGTTGCAGAGCTAGAGACTGAACCTAATGTGTATGGTCCTGGTGTTTACGTTTATTACAACTCCGTTATAACGATGGCTGGGCATCTTTGCCAACCTCTGCTCTCTATCTCTCTATCATCTCTCACTCTTACTCTCCCCCAGCTCTCTCCTCCCCTCTGCTGAGCTGAAGTCGAGATAACAAACACTTACTAGTTTATGGGTTTCATGGCCACATTTATGATGATTATTTTAAACAGGACTTGAAGCAATGGCTTTATTGGTTTGTAGTGATTTCAAGCCAAGGGTGTGTTCTGGGTTACTCATATGCATAGAGCAGAGGGAAGGACACCAAAACAAATGTATCAACCTGTCAGGGAGTCAAATGTGAAGCCAGGATGAATCCACTTACTGAGGATTCTCGGCCTTCAAGGTAGGACCAAGCAAAAATCTCTTATTATAACTTCAGTTCTTCTATTCAGTCTCAGAGTTATGGGAACCAAACCTGTCGCTAGCAATGACGGTTGAGTGAGGACATGATTATCAAGAGAACAGATAGTATTCTAGACACACTAGCCATAAAGCACACCTTTTTAATATCCCCTGAGACTCAATTAAATGTGTCAACAATCCCTAACCCGACCTGACAATGGTCCTGAAGTCCCCCTCCAAAGGGAAGCTGCAATCTCTTCCCAGATGGTGAAAGATCATGGGCAAAGGAGAAATTCTAGAATCTGTAGCCCTCTCTCACTATATGAACAAAGTAATTAGAGCCTTTATATTATCATAACAGCTGCTTCTCAATACCATGTAAAGTAGGGCTGAGGCTTTCTGGTTGGGCCTTTTCTGATGAGCAGCCTGATGTGCTGGCTTTGATTGATTCACTGGTTTATTTCTTTGATAAAATGTTGCTCGAGTGCATTTTCCTTACTCTAGCCCCCCCCCCCCGGGCCCCTGATTGATCTAAGATCATAGAACTTCCTCCCTCATCAGCCCTCATACAGCCTGTATTTTTCCAGTGCCTACTATGTACCCAGCTCTGTGCCAACTTCTAGGAAAACAACAATGAACTAGGCTGATCCGGTGTTCTCTCATATCTCAGAATCTGGTCTAGAATGTAACCAAACACCAACTGGACTCTAATTTAAGGCTGTGCTATGAGAACAGCATTCAAAGTGCCTACCATAGTCACACCCTCCTCACGAGCAAGGCCACGTCTTCTACCCTGTGACCTCCTGTGTTGCCACAGAAAACTGGGCTACTGCTTGGCCTCTGACGCAAAGGCAACCTTGGAGGCCAGGCCTAGCTGCTACAGTGCCACATATGAGACTCATTCAAGTAGGGCATCTCTGAATAAGAGATAATTGGCATGCTGTCATGGCATGAAAAAGGAAAGGTGTACAGAAAGAATTAAACAGGCGGAAATGACAAGGGCGGAAAGGCTATGAACAACACGGAGGCCACAGTAGAGACGGAGCATTAACTGGGAGAAGAGAACAGATCACTACAGAAAGGCAAAACACCAGAAACACAGAGTGAGTATTTGAGTCTTACTATGCTAATGAGTCTAGGTGTGGGGATGACAGGGTGGACAAAACAAATGCTGACAGCGAGCACCTCAGTTATTGGCTGGTTGTCATTCCAGATAGCATTTGAGAGTGAGTTCGGTATTCCTTACTTTCTTGAATATGCATTTTCTCGTGCATAGTAACACATGGATGTAGGAGTTGGCTGTTTTGGCCACATCTTTCCTGCCATTCTCTTAGCCACAGTTTAAAACACAGTTCCAGAGAACAAACTGGCCCAGGGTGCTGGCCAATTGTCACATTCTACACTGCTGACTTTCATATTCCCTGTACACATAACAGCCTCCAGAAGATGAAACACATCCACTGCCCAGCTGCCTGACCCTGCTCCGGGTGAGCCAGTGTGCCTCTCACTGAGGGCAAACCTTTCAGATTTCACCTCGTTTCACTCAGCCAGGAAATCAGTGTAACCCATTCTGCCAGGTTTAAAAGGGGGACGGTCCACTTGCTCACACAGATCATCTCAAAGTGATGTCTCGAAGGAGATGTGAGAGAGACTAGTAACAAAACTCCACACCATAAAGAGCCCACTGCTCTTCGGTGAGGGTGTTCCAGGGGCAGTTTCTAATCAAGGTAACAGATGCCTATTTTGATTTTATTGTTTGTCACCCGTTTCCACCTTTCTTGGTTTAAAAATGGTGTAGTTAGAGCAAGAAAGAAGGTTAGAGCAAGGCCAGAGGTGACCTGGGTACAGCAGAACACTGCGGGGGTGGGGGGGTTGTTGGAATGAATAACACACACTGAGGGTAAAGTCAGATCTCTTTAGATTTTTTTCCATTTGTCTATGAGGAATAAAACCAAGGTCAAATTTAGATCCCAATTTAAGGACAGCAGGTCAGATAATAAAGCAGAATTTAAATTTTTTGTTTGCTTTTGTCCTGAGGGCAAAAGTTTACTGAGGTGTTGAGAGTCAGTTTAACTCATCTTGCCTTTACAAGGCTTCCAGGAGGTTACTGTTCACAGAAGTCAGGGAGCAGGGACCCTAGGGACACACTGCTGAAAGCAGCGGTTCTCAACCTTCCTAATGCTGTGACCCTTTAATACAGTTCCTAGTGTTGTGGTAACCCCAACCATAAAACTATTTTCATTGCTACTTCATAACTGTAACTTTACTGTTATAAATTGTAATGTAAATATCTGATATGTCACACACACACACACACACACACACACACACACACACACACCCAAAGGGGTCAAGACCCACAGATTGAGAACTACTGGCTTAAAGGCTTTTGAATGTTTTACCAGTATGTACCTGAGCTCCTTCAACTTCCTATAGTCTAGTTAGGGTTCAACGCCTCCTCTCCATGAAAAAAGACAATAAATGTTTTCGTAACAAAATTAAGACTGACCAGTTGCATGACCACATGACAGAAATAAAGACAATTTGAGTAGCACTACAAAACACAACGTACTTACCAAATACAGCTCTGAATCTTCATAATGGTGCTACCCAGGGCAAGCAATTATTACCCTACTAAACTGGAGTAAATGGGGAATAAACTACCATCTCATCCTCCTGTCCCAGAAGAGGGGACACCTTCACTTACCCACACACAGGATGTTGAAACAGAACCCTTGAGAAGTAGATTTGTTAACCAGCTGGTCAGGGAGACTGTCAAATCCAACATGGCCAGAAAGTGATAAGTTCCGAAGTTCTTCATTCTGGAATGTAAGAGGAGAAATGTTGGAGAGACCATAAACTACTTCACCAGATGTTCCTTCTGTGATCCTTGTGATATAGAGAGATGTCCTGGTGTCCGTGTCTTCCTGGCTTCTTCATTGCCAACTTCAGTATCTACTCCTTCTACAGCCTCCCTCCAAAAACAGACTGCCTTCCCAGGGGCTTCATTAAGTGTACAGTTCCAGGAAACAGGAGCTCTTACAAGTGGCTAGTTCATATACATGACAGGTGACATTAAAATACATTTTAATGGCTTCTACCATTCAAGAAAAATGTTTCATTTATTTACTACACATGCAAACACTCTTCCAGACAAAGGGGGCTCTGAGATGCTCACAGAGGAAGACATGGAGGGCTACAATTAAGGGCTGTTGTTGTGACCACCATAATACAATGTACTTAAAACTTTTCTACACACAAAACAGTTCCATCTCCTTCGTTTACTGTCCAGGGTTAGTGGCACGCCTTCCCGTAGGCTCTGCACACACTGGACCTCCTCAGAGTGGGCTGGTAGAGACTTGGGGGGAGGCATAGGAGTTGACAGACTCATCTGCCCTAGAGGACAGAGCTGGCCATTTCCACAACTCCAAGCCCATCTCGGGGCATTAGAGATCAACTATGAAGACTTTCTTTCCTGAGAAACAGAATTGGCCTATGGTCAATCGATGCAGGATCTTAGTTATGCTTTTCAAGTCTGGAAGCATGAAAAGCCTTCAGGGAGACAGGTGTTCTAGCCATATCACCTTGTGTTCAAAGCACTGAATCAGGGTGAAGAAACAAACAAGTCTCATTGTTGCCTCACTCATTTATCAACAACCCCCACACAACGTGTGAGTGTGTGAGAGAGACACGTAGGCCTGAGGTCTGTCTTGACTGGCTTCCTCAGTCACTCTCCATGTTATTTTTTGAGTCAGGGTCTCTCATTGAACCTGGAGCTCATCAGACAGGCGGGGCTGTCTGGCCAGTGAACTTCAGGAACCCAGCTATCTCCATCCCCAGCATGGTAGTTACCAGCACAGTTCACACCCAGATTTTTAAGTGGGCGCTGGGGTTCTAAACCCATGTCCTTTGTTTGTTTGACAAGGACTTCACCAAACAGATAAGCTACTCCAGACTCACAGTTTCTTTCTTTCTTTTGTTTTTTTTTTTTTTTTTTTTTTTAAGTAAAAACAGAAAAAGCTTTGCACAATCACTTAATGATTTTTATTCCTCTTTTATATTATGGGTGAAAATAATAACCAATAACCTGCTTAGTAACCAGAGAAGGCTCCATTCTTAAATTCCCATGTTTACCACATAAGCATAGAAATGTGACTCCTTAAAGCTAGGACTCATAGATGGTGATGGTTTTATGAACCCTAGACTGGGAACATAGCAGCTCTAAAATTCTGATTTTATGAAATAACGAAAACTCAAGCCCTTGCCTGTACGGTAGCAGCTGCGGGTTTGAAGTCAATAGGCTAGAGAACAGATGTCATTCTATGAATAGTCTCCTTGAAACCTGCCAACAGTAAATACGAGACTAGAGAGCAAGCTCTTAGCCTTGAGTGGAGCAACATGGACCACGCACACCAAACAGCTTTGCAGACAGCCCCAGTGGGCAAGGGCCCTGGAGGATGAGTGAGCGCTCGTTCCCAAGCCCTAGTCTTTGTGCTGCCTGCCCCTTCCTTTCTGATACCCCACAAGTTCAGCACATAGGTATTTTTAGGGTGTTTACCACATCCGCCCAGTCGTGGGGAGGAGCATGTGAAGTCAGCCCTAGATTATATTTAGAAATGTTTCCATAGCAGCTGTGTGGTGGCTGCTGGGCACTAGGCTTGAGGGAGTCACCTCACTTCTCTTCTGTCACACATGTGAACGGTCATAAAGCAGGAAAAAGACCAGGAAAGACACAAGCCTAGGCTCCCGTACTGCCAGTCACAATTTTAACTTCCAGAGGAAAAGCAGAGCTTGATGCTATGGATTCTGGCTTGCTGGATTGTTAGATACCCAATATCCACCCATAAACCAATCCCAGGAAGGCATTGGTTAGTAATTATAGCTCCCATCCCAGAACCCAGAGCTCAGCATCTCATATTCTCACCGTTACCCAAAACATGAGAAACCACCCACATACCCACCGAGCATTTTTAAACCCATTGAAAAACCAAACGTGAAATATAGGGTTATAAAACATTCTGGTCTTGAAATTTAAAGCTATGTCCTTTGTCCTTAGAGAGTCTTGTGAAATATATTAAGATTTTAAACATACCTCTAAATTTTATAATTTAAGCCAAAGTCTTCCCAGTATTAGAGTCACCCACTGTTCATTGTGTAGCAAACAAAAAAGGAAACAGGAAGTTCTTCACCCAGCCCAGGAACTGGGAGCAGTGTGACTAAAGAGCCAGCTGAGAAGCAGTATGACTAAAGAGCCAGCAGAGAAACTCACCTGGTGACTCATAAGACAACTAAAATGAAGACCTACTCATGACACTCATCTTAGACTTCACCGTCCGGAAAACGCAGTCTCTTCTGAGGCTAGTGGCCTCTGAAGAACTACATACATCCCCACATGATCAACACTATCACACATCAGGGGATGACTCCCAAATTTCATCCACACAGCCCATCCCACTGTCTGCCTGACTTCCCAGAGTTCCCTTGGTTTTTCCTGTCTGTACTGCAGTCTGGTACAGCACTGACAGTCTGTCCTCTTAACTCGCAGTCCCCAGAGCTCCTTGTTTCTATAGTGGGTTACCTGAGATTGGGGCGGCTACTCCTCAAGTCTCATCAGTGCGGCCCCTTGGTCTCTCACAGCCTCCCTTGGCTTCTGTGCCTTGACTTTACCCCTCTAACCTTTCCTTTCTACATCAATGCCAAAGGAGCCTCAGTCCCCACAATCCCTCCAAACTCCCTGTCATCTCTAGGCTGTCCAAGTCTCCATTCTTACTGATCTACATCTCACCAGGAAACACTTGACACCTGGATGAGTCACTTTCAGTGCCTGGAACAAACCCAGGTGTCTTCCCATTGGAGAATAGTAATTCCCATTTCCTTTTACCTACAAGGGCTCATATCTCTAATATTGACATGGCCATGCCTTACAGGCTCCACGGAAATGTTGCCACCAAATTCATCTTTGTTAGGAAATCTGGAGGACATTTTGAGTAAGCATTGCCCTTTCCAATAAGAAGAAACTTCTGATATACTCTGGCCATCATAATAACTAACATATCATAGTGATTAATGTTCCAGAAGTGCTTTAAACAAACTGTTGCTGTTCTGTCTGTCTGTCTCTCTCTCTCTCTCCCCCCCCCCCCATTTTTTTTTCTTTTATTTTTTTCAGACAGGGTTTCTCTGTGTAGTCCTGACTGTCCTGGAACTCACTGTGTAAACCAGGCTGGCCTCTAACTCACAGATCTGTCTGTCTCTGCCTCTGCTACAATTCAAGGCATGTGCCACAACTGCCTGCCCTGATGCTGTTTTTCTTAACTGCATAAAATAGCTGCTATCACCCAAGTTCAACTTACAAGTGTGGGGAATGGAGGCACAGAAATTAGTAATTTACTCAAGGCTGCACAGCTACTGAAGCTGAGAGACAGGACTCTTGAGTGCAAGAAATCAGCGTCTACAGCTGTTGGCCTTCGATAGTGCGGGCTGATCCACGATTCTGCCAGGCAGCCTTGGATACTGTAATGCCTTCAGTTACTATAGACATCCAATATATTAAGATGACCACAAAAACATTCTCTAAAACCCTAGTTCTTTGGCAATCGTAGGGATGGAAATTGAGAATTGGAATGGGCAACCCATTCCAGTATATTTTTCACTGCCTTGGCAAAGTGAACACACTTTGACTTGTGCAGCCATGGCACATGAAGCCTGTAATAGAAGGCTTAGTTTTAACCATTTTGGAAACAGACGTAGCAACATGAAGCCACTAAGTAAGGGCCTAAAAGACTTTAATCGATTTAACACCCCCTTTGCTAATCCAGCTGGTAAAGATTTGTTACTAGGTGGATTCGCAGCCCACTCCATTCTTAATAGAGCTGTGATCCAACTTGAGCATACAAAACAGCCAGTTTTTAATTTGACTGTTTCATTTTTCTCTTGTTGGAACATGTCTTCCTGGATGTAATTACCTGTTCACCTAAAAATGCTACTAAAATCGCTAACATAGAAGTGTGTTGTTTTTGTTTTTATCATTGACAAACACTGTTCCCAGCTCTAAGAAGTCTTACAGCATAGATAGGTCGTACTAAAGATAATACTATTGAAGATAAAGTGGTAAATACCATCTGAACAGAGGGACATGAGGAAGGTAGGAATAACTCTCAGCTGCAGAAATCTGAGGCACCACTGGAGGTCCCCTGAATACCTAGTGAGACAAACAAGTACACAGTTTGCAGGAACATTTCCAGGAGAAAGGTACATATGTCTAAGAGGTCAACTGGCAATGAGCGTACACCAAGTTTACAATCTTAAAGTTTCTAAGAGTCCAGCTGACATCATTATTGAAACAGTTACAGGACAGTGCGTACAAGAATGTGTGTCAAAGCTGAGTAGTAGCAGCGCACAGCTTTAATCCCAGCACTCGGGAGGCAGAGGCAGGCAAATCTCTAAACTCAAGGCCAGCCTGGGTCACAGAATGAATTCCAGCACAGCCAGGGTTACAGAGAAACCCTATCTCAATAAAACAACAAACACAAAAGACTGTTGGGTCAACACCTAGCTCTGAGCATCTCTCCAAACTGTGGTCCACACCCTGCCCTGTGCATCCTTCCACCTGGCTGTCAACTCTGGGCTTTGTCATCCTGCTCTGCAATGTGGATCTGTGGAACAGTTTAGAACTAGGTGTTGGCACACATTCTATTTTGACAGACGTGGGTTTGAACCCCGGCCTTTTTTCCTACTTGCTTTCTGTCTTTGTTCTGTCACCAATAAAAATGCAGCACTTGGCAGGGCTGCTTTTAATGGACTGGGTGGGTCCTGAGAGAGGTGG